TGATATAGTTTTACCTTTTTTCAAATTTCGCAGATTTTTTAATAAGGTTTTAATATAATTTAACTAAGTTTTACTTTACTATTTAGACGTCTGTCTAAACTCTTGATTTCGTCCAGTGACCTTATATAGGAATTAATGCATCAGATATATACTTAGTAATTCATACAATTATTTCTTTATCAATAAATACATATAACTTTTAGTTATTTTTACATAATAGATTGTATATTTATTACTATTTTAATTTAGCAAATTTGATACAAGTAATTGAAGAGCAGAATGTGATGAAATATCTTCAAAAAGTATTGTATTTTATTCCAAAAATGATATACAAGCCTTATTTCTAATAATTACACAAAAAGAAGAAAGATATGAATATTGTCAATCATATAGTATATTATAATAAATTTTAATAATTTATTAGTTTACCAAAAGAAAATGATGTGGTAAAAAGAATAAGACATTATGAAGACCAACAAAAAATCTTACAAATAGCACACTTTTGTGAAATAAAATATATTTATCAATATTCATTATCTTTTATAGATGAAAGATATTTTAAATGAAGCATGTGGAGTATGTGATAATTGTTTATTAAATATATGTGATAAGTCTGTATGGAATGAATTTTCTGCTGATATAATTAGGCTGCTGAAAATTGCAAAAGAAATTTTGATATCTGAAAAAATATATGAAATAGTATTATTAGATATCACAGAAGTTTTTTGTAAACTAAAAAGAGCAAATGAAATGGGACTTTCTGAATTATCAGTTTATAATGAATTATTTGAACATAAATTGAAAAATAAAAATAATACATTGTTTATTATAAATAATCTTTGTGCTAAAGGTTTCTTAATTTTAAATTTTTAATTTTAAAAGATAGTATCTTTTACTGAAAACTTTTCTTTTAAATCTGTGATTATTGGATTGGATAACAATACTGAAGAAGAAGCAAAACATATTAAATGTGAATATTGTTTTAAACAATAAAATGATTTTTTAAATAAAATTAATACTTTATTCTCTGAATTAATAGTTTATAAAATAAAATTACAACTTTATAAATCTAACATTATCTATTTCGCATCTGAAAATTAACTTGAAATCAATCATATAATGTGTATATAGATTAATTTTTAATTAGATATTATGATTAGTAAAAAATGATCTACATAATGGACTCTGCTCTTTAAATATCAAAGGTAGATTTTTGTTTAAAAAACAACAAAATTGTTATTTTTTTAATAATAAAATGCTATTGTTATCTTACGATACTAACGACTGAAAATTAGTATTAGCGCAAGATTAACAAAGGATTTAGCTTTAAGACCTTACAATGCGATTTATGGAGAGCTTCTGAAGGTTTATCGATCAAATGTATTTTAAAAGACAAGTATGATTTATGGGT